CCAGAAGGCCGGGTCCAAGGCAATAAATTTGGCGTCCGCAGCCTGAAGACGTGCGGACGCAGCTGGTGGATAGGATGTGTCACCACCATTGCGCTTAGGCTTGCTGCGCTGGTGGTGATCCAGCGTGTAGCTGATCTGGTTGGCGGCACACATGCGAATCAAGGCACTGCCGAGCTTCTTGGTGTTGGTCTTGTGCATGTCGTACGTGGCCTGCAGCTCGTCCGCGTTCAGCTCGGCGAGCCCGTTGTATGCGGCTGTGGGGCGGTCAGACCCCGCTTGCTTGAAAGCTGCAATGCAGTCCTGTTTGCGTTGGAGGAGGGATCCTTCAGCAGCAGGACGTGAGCTCGGCGGCTGCTTGGAAGAGCGACGGCGCTCCGGCTTGGCGGGGGCCATTGCGGCGGGCGCTCTGGTGGGAGGGAAGAGGTGACGCGAATCAGTAGGGTCCTGCTGGGACCCCTCCGGTCTCGCGAGGCCTGGGAGACTGGCTCCGAGGCGGGGCGCTTCGCGTCGCGGCTGCGGTCTGAGTGCAGGGCACTCTCGAGCCGAGACTAGAGAGAGAGAGAGAGAGAGAGAGAGAGAGAGAGAGAGAGAGAGAGAGAGAGAGAGAGAGAGAGAGAGAGAGAGAGAGAGACAGACAGACAGACAGACAGACAGACAGACAGACAGACAGACAGACAGACAGACAGACAGACAGACAGACAGAGAGTCAGAAGAGAGAGAGAGAGAGAGAGAGAGAGAGAGGGAGAGAGAGAGAGAGAGAGAGAGAGAGAGAACAAAAAAAAAAAAACAAGAAAAACAGAGAAATCGGACAAACAATCGGGCGGTCCGCTGGCGCCCAGCTAGCGCGGTAGCCCAAGGCGCCCGCGCGCGCTTGGCGGCGGCGCGCGCCTCGGGGAACAGGGAGTGTTGGAACAACTACTCCCCGGCGCAGAGCGACCGACGTAAAGCGGCGGGGCGGTGGGCGGGCGAGGCGCCGCGTCTTCCTGCGCGCCGCATGGGGGATCGCCCAGGTCGGCAAAGCCCTGGCTGGCGGCCGGTCGGCAACGGCTTGGCCGCTGATATAGAGGATAATAAAAGCCCGAATCAGGGCAATGAAAGACAGAGTCAGGGAGAGACAGAAAGAGAGAGAGAGAGAGAGAGAGAGAGAGAGAGAGAGAGAGAAAAAACAAAAAAGAGAAAGATAATGATAGAGAGAGAAAGAAAGAACAGATAATATAAATAGCGAGATAGATAGAGAGAGAGAGAGAGAGAGAGAGAGAGAGAAACAAAGAGAAAAAAAAGGGAGAGAGAGAGAGAGAGAGAGAGAGAAATAGAGAGAGAGAAATATAAAGAGAGAGAGAGAGAGAGAGAGAGAGAGAGAGAGAGAGAGAGAGAAAAAGAGAGAGATATCATGATAAAAGGAGAAAGGGAGTAACGCGCCGAGATGCCCCCAACAAAACGAGAAAGCGCTGGGGGAGAAAGAGAGAAACAGAGACACATATAAAACTACATACATAAACACATCGCAACTATAGGTTAGTGACAGTGGGCAGAAATGAGCCAAACCATCTTGAAAGTGAGACGTGACATATCTACTTATATATACACACCTATGATTCATGTATAGGGAGGGAGATGGATCGACAACTTATTCAGACGGTGGGGCCCAACATGAAAAACTATCTAGATAACCCTTCGCTCTTTCCTCTTCGCCCTGGCTGAAGTCCCCGTCTCGCCCTCTATTATGTCTCCCCCTTAGCATCCTTGTCTTCCTCGTCCTCCGTCTCATCCTCCTCCTCCTCGCCCTCCCTGTTCAAATGCTCCCCTTCATATTCGCCTTCTCTTCCTCTACTGCCCCCCCCCCCCCGCGCCACCCGCCCGCCCGCCGCGAGCCGCTGGGGCGCGAGGGCGAGCCGTTGGAGCGACCCCGCCGGCGCCGAGCTAGTCGCGGCCGCGATCGGGCGGGGGGCAGCGCGAAGTTCAGCTCTGCCGCGAGCTGCTCTGCCTCCGCCCTGGGGCCCACCTCTCTCCCGTCGAGCTCCTCGAGCGCCTTCCGCGGGGGCGCCGGCGGTCCGAGCTCGAGGGGCCCTCGCGTGGGCGGCCGCAGGGTCAGCGCGTTCTGCGCGCGCGTGGCGCGGGGGGGGCATGGCGCGGACGTGCTGCCGCCGCTGCTCGTCCGACGTGTCCGCGCGGCCAGCGCCCTCACCCCCGGCGCAATCGATGGTGGCGCTCCTGCGCAGCGTCTAGCCCTGCGACGGCGCGGAGGTCAGGCGGGGCGCGCGCGCCAGGATGAGCCCCGAGCGGCGTGCGACGTGCGGCCCCGAACTCTGCCGCGTGAGCTCCTGCTCGCTGGGCCTGAACATGAGCGAGCTCCTCGCCCGCGCCTCGGCCTCGCCGTCGTCGTCCGCGCCTTCGGCGCTCTGCAGCAGCACCTCGGCGACCCCCTCATAATCGGGCGCCCCTCGAAGCCGCGGGCCTGCGCCCAAATTCCCCGCGGTAGGTGGGGGGGGGCGAAAGAGATGGCCTGGCGCGCGCTCCTCGCAGTCGCGCTCGTCGCCCGGGTGGAACTCGAAGGACGCGACGGCGGCCCGCTGCCCCTGCCCCTCCCGCGCGGCCGCGAAGCGGACCTCGATGCCGGCGCTCGCGGGCAAGAGGCCGCGTGCGCCCCCCGTCTCGTGCGTGTCCGGGGTGTTCGGAGAGCGCCTGTCTGCGTCTGGGTCGCCTTGAACCGCGCTGCGCTCATCTGCGGGCCCGCGGGAGAACGAGGGGCGCGCCCTGGCGCCGCGCGTCGCGACGAGCACGCGCGTTGATCCAACTCGCCAGCATCTCCCAGTAGATGCCCGCGCCGTGGCCGAGCCGAGAGTTCTCGCGCTGGCGCCGTGGGCCCAGGGCGCCGCGGTTGTCCGGGGCCGACGTTTTTTCCTAGGCGGACCAGGCCTCCGGCGGGAAGGGCTGCCCGCGAGCATGCAGCCCAAGAGCGCGATCAGAGGGCCCCTAGGCTCGAAGCGCCTCCTGCCCTTGAGCTCGGAGTCGCATGGGATCTGAATGTAGATCCTGATGGCGCACTGAATCCCCACCGCCGGTGGCTCAGCGTACTAATGCGACCCGTCGCCCAGTGGCTCGCTCAAGCCCGTCAAATGGCCGACGGGGCTGGTGGGCTTCAGCTGCAGGGAATCGCCGAAGTTTACCGCGACGGGGGCGCGCCCGAAGTGGCGGCGCGGCCTCCTGTAGGCGGTCCCCTGCGCGTCGTGCGCGTCGCTGCGCCCGCGGCGGGCGCGGAGGTCCAGCGCGCCGTGCAGAGCTGCCGCCGCCCTGATGACTTCTTCGAGGATAAGAACGCGGACCTGCTCTCTGACGCTATGCGTTGGTGACGAATGAGATATTATGCCGCATATTGCTGCCGCTCACAGGCGATGTCCCCGCGCAAGCTTTCATCCATAATTCATCCGGAGGAGCCGAAAAGTGACGGCAGTTACCGGCGTCCGATGACGCGCTCAGACTACCAACGTGAAGTACGGACCTCATAGAGGGGGCTCTCGCCTGAGACCTCTTGCAATTCGCTCGCAGACGAAGCTCCCGCCTGAGTCTTTCTCCGCGTTCAATCCAGAGGAGCTGAAAAGCGACGGCGGTTGCAAATTTCCGGCGGCGCGCTCGGATTGCCAACGTGGAAGGGCCCTCCGCTTAAGACTTCCTCGCCGTTCACACACCGACGAAATCCCGCTTGAAACTCCCCTCGCACTCAATCCAAAGGAGCCGACAAGTGACGACGCATCGTTCTACGGTTCCGATACCCGCTCGGACTACCAACGTAAAATGTGGACCCCATTGGGGGGGGGGGGAGGGGGGCGCGCCCGCCTGAGACTTCCTCGCGATTCGCTCGCAGACGAAGCTCCCGCCTGATACCTCTTCCATATTCATTCCAGAGGGGCCGAACAGTTACGACAGTCGCAAGTTCTCGATGGCACGCGCGGGTGACCAGCGTGAAGTGCGGACCCCGCAGGGAGGGGGCTCCTGCCTGACACTGCCTCACAATTGCCTTACTGACGAGGTTCCCTCTTAGTCGATGGTCACGATGGGATGGTGCTAATTATGACCCTGTAATGATAATGAGGGTGATGGTGAGTGATGGTGAGTGGTGGCTTAGTGATGACGGGGGTGAATGATGATGATGATGATGAAGATTGTGATGATGGTGATGATGATGAAGTGTGTATGGTGATAACGATGCTGATGATGATGGTGGTGGTCATGGTGGTGAGTTTGCCAGCGCATTTACTTGATTCTGACGATGGTGGTAGTGGCCATGATGAGGAAATGTGCTAATCTGATCGTGATGACGGTGCTGATGGCGCTGATGGTGATAAAGATGATGCATGCGTACGGGTTTGAAAGTGTGGTGGTGATAATGAGTGTGTGTGTGTGTGTTTGTGTTCTAGTGGTGGTTGTGGTAGTGATGGTGATGGGTGCGATGGCGATGGTGATGGCGACGATGATGAGGCGGGCGAGAAGGTGTGCGTGTGTGAGAAAGCGTACTGGATATCATGAATGCGTGCGCGTGTGTGTGCGTGCTGATGGCGATAGTGATGACGATGATGAAGATGTCTTTTTTGTTTTGCATCCTCCCCAAGCGCACAGACGCCCCAGGGCGTCGTCCGCCGCGATGTGGGCGAACGTGTACTCCCAAGGATTGGGATCTAGCCTCGCGCGAACATGGTCTCGGAGCCGACCGAAGCCCGCACCCAGCACCTCGAACGCGGCTTGGCTGGTATAGCTGCTGGCCGCTCCAGCTGTTGAAAGCCACCTGCCCGGCTTGCCATCGTTCGGGCGCAATGTGCACCCACGCGGGAACATCTTCTCTAAAGTAAGGGGACCATATTCGGGCGCACCTTCACGATCTGGCGGCACTTCCACACGTCCTGGCAATGCCACTTCACGACCTGGCAGTACTTCCCCCGTCCACAGACCTGGCGGTACGTCGCGACCTGCCACTACATCACGACCTGGCAGTACATGTGAAGGACCTGGCAGTACTCCATCACGACCTGGCAGTACATCCACACGAGCGTCCGGCACGTCATCGCGACCTGGTAGTACACCTTCACGGCCTGGAAGTACACCCACACGATCTGGCAGTACCTCGGCCCGATCTGGCAGTACATCCACACGACCTGCCAGTACTCCATCACGACCTGGCAGTACATCCACACGAGCGTCCAGTACATCACCACGACCTGGTAGCACACCTTCACGACCTGGAAGTACTCCCAAACGACCTGGCAGCACCTCGGCACGATCTGGCAGTACATCCACACGACCTGGCAGTACCTCCACTTGACCTGGCAGTACATCTTCACGAACTGGCAGAACCACATCATCACCTAGTAGTGCATCCACGCGACCAGGCAGGACAGCCGCAGGGCATGGCAGTCCATCTCCACGGCCCGACAGCACCTCTCCACGATCTGGCAGTACAACGTCAGCACGGCCTGGCAGCACCTCCACTCGACCAGGCTGTGTATCGGAACGACCTGGCAGTACCTCTTCTCGACCACGTAGCCCGTCATCACGACCTTGCAGTACCGCGGCACGATCTGGCAATTCATCGGGTAGACCTGGCAGCAGTCCGTCACGGACTGGCAGTACATGGGCACGACCTGGCAGTACATCTGCTCGAACCGACAGCACATCGCCACGCTTTTGAACAACAGCATCTGTAGGACAACCAGGGAATGTCGGCACCGAAGGCAGAACAGCATGGTGTCGTGGCGCTTACGCTCCATTGCGGCCCATAGTCCAAGGATCGCGGCCTTCACCCCAAGGATCATCATTCTCCTCACCATCACCAGGACCACCGAGAGAATCCCGACGACGACGTCCGCCCCAACCTCGGCGAGGACCAGGTGCATCATCAGCGCCATCCCCATCATTTCCGTCATGCCCTCCGTCGCCTTGGGGACCGCGTTGAAGTCCTTGTCCAGGAAGCCGCTTGACGTTGAAGGAGATGTGCGACTCCCCCGTCGACGCCGCATGGCCATGGTCGACGACCACAGCCTCGAGAAAAGAGAGAGCAGCAGCGCCTGCACCACCACGAGCGCGTGGCCGTTCAGCATGTGCGTGTCAATGATCGGCAACAGTACGAGGTGGACGATGACGCGGTCGCGATGCGCGTTGAGCCGCACTCGGCATTGGCGGGCAAAGGCGAGCCTGAGCCATTCGAGCCGGGACGCAGAGACCATGGGGCGGGCAAGACGAGGCGAAGCAGCGGCGGTGGGCGCAACCGCGCCCGTGTGGCCCCCGACCCAGCATGTGCTTGAGCCAGAATGGCTATGATGATGATGATGAAGATGCTGATGATGACGATGCTGATGATGATGATGATGCTGATGATTTTTTTCAACGGGACCGATGGCAATGAGGGATGACAATCGGCGCAGTGTGTCCAGTTCTGGCAACGGGCGCATTCGAAGCCAAACCAACTCAGAGGTTGGGCGCCTTCAAGGTCGTTCTGCAAAAAGTCAAGGCCCAGTAAGAGATAAAAACCAAGAAATAAAACAATAAGGCAACACAATCAATTAAAAGCCCCCAGAGTGCATACCCTGAGAGAGGGGGAGGGTCGATCAGAAGCTAAGCCCGTGGCCAGGCGACGATCAAGGAAAACGGACCCTGCCCAAACAAAATCTCTTTCTAGAGAGCACGCGGGGCCTTGCGGTACTTCATCGGGAACCTGGCGGCAACAAAAATGAAGAAGCGTTATCGGCGGCCAATGCAGCTGAAGCAACGCTTGCCACTTGCAACAGCCAATGGGCGCCGACAGAAGCACTGAATGGGGAACATCGGGCCGAGCGTAGGAACCCCGAGAGAAGCACAGAGAGCGGCTTTCGGGGAACCCCAACAAGGGCTTCAGCAGAGAGCGATGCAAAGTCCGCTGGCCCCAGAGGGGCACGATGAAGAGAGCAGCACCGACGCGGCAGAGGGGTACATGTACAGCATAACACTCCGCTGGCCCCGAGAGGGACGGTGGGCCGCTGGCCCCAGGGGGGCAACGGTTAAATGAGACAGCTAAGAGGAATACGCAGACCAGGCACGGGCAACCTTCGGATGCCGCAGGGTGTGCAAGCGAATGCGGCCTTTGAGAAGATCCTTCGGCGGCTGCCTTGCCCCCCCACGAAAACTGGCTTGGACGAAAAGGAATCCGTCCAGAGGACTCGCACAACTTAAACGCTGCTCAAAGAACGGGGGGGGGGGGGGGCGATCAAAGTTAAACGTCGGAACCGGGGCTCTTCGCTAAAAAAAAACTGGAGGCAGGGGGCGAGAGCTAGACTCAGGCGTCGAAATTCAGGACACGCGGCATAGTGCTCCATTGAGTCATTGGCCCCAGGGGCTCCACAGTCCCAGCGGCATCCTTCAGGCCCACGATGAAATCTGGCACTGGCGCAGACCCCCCTCGCCAGGACACGTAAGACAGCGAGTCCCTGGTAGAGAGAACTTTCCTTGCATACCTTGCGGACAACCTGAACAGCAGCCGAGACCTGGGCGACAGAGACCCCAGGGACCCATCGGACCACCCGGGGCGACAGAGACCCCTGGGCGACAGAGACCCCAGGCAGCGGATAGGAGAGATCGGAGGAGCACGGGCCCGACGGATTCGCGCGAGCTTCTTTTGAAAACCCGAAGCCTGAAGGAAGCCAGCGCACAGATGGATGTGCCCATTCCATGTGTCAATGAGAGACCGACAGAACGTGTGCTGCCACCGCGGGCGCCGCATCCGAGCAGGGTGAAATTCGTCTTGCTGAGAAAGACCAAGAATCAGACCACGGATCTTCGTGAATGCAGCACTGTTGTGGGCAAGACGAACCTGTGTAGCAATGCCCATCTGCGCCATATCAGGGAACTCCAACGATAGGCCGAGGTCGCACATCCTGGTGCACATCAGTCTGTTGAAGGCAAACCGAGGACCCGCCATAAGCTTCTGTTGCATGTTCCCCTTCACATTTCAAGACAGCAGAAGATGGAGGATAGAACTGCATCGCGAACCTGAGTACCGAGACGGCAAATATCACATACGTCCTAATGGTCATAGCGAGACCAACCCGAAGCCTCCGAATCTCAATGCAACGCTGATGATACTTCTGCAGGGCAGTGTTCCAGGCGTGCCGCCAACCTTCAGGGCCGATCTGAACCCCCAGATACCGAGCATGCCGAACCAAGCCAATTGCATTAGCCCCATTCCCAAAGACTAGCGAGCAACCTGCGAATCAGCCGAGTCGTCCGCGGAGAGAGACACAGGCCACAGTGAATCAGGACACATTTCTTAAGGTTCAGTGCGAGACCGATCCCAGGATGCAGACGCTGAAGCAACGGGAGAAGAATCGGTAGTTCCACGTTCACATCACGAAGCCCAAACCACAGGTCATCAGCATGCGCCAGGATTTGCCGAGGGAGACGACTGCAGAGCCAACGCATGCAAGGATCGAGAGCAAGGGCGAAAAGCAGCATACTGGACGGGTCCCCTTGGCGAACACCCCGTAACAATCTGATCGCCCTATGACCCTTCCCTCCAAAGCAGACGGTCCCAAGATTATCAGAATACAGCGCCTCAAAGAAACCCACCACTCCAGGATGAACTTGCATCGGGACCAGCGCCCGAAGAAGCCAGGAAATCGCAATGCTCGGAAACGCAGCAGCAAAGCCGGTCAGAAACATGCAAGACAGGTCCCCCCCCCCAACATGCACTGCTGAACTCCCCAAACCTCAGCTTCAAGAATCTGGTCAGTCATGGAACGCCCTCGGATGCAGGCCTGAACCTTGCGAACACTTTCGCGGGCTTCCTTTTCCAGTCGGGAGGAGAACGCCACAGACATTATCTTACAGTCAGTTTTGGCCATGGCAAGAGGACGGCAGGCATCAGGAGCACGAGAGGGACAGGCAGTAAGGTCCGTCGGATTCTCACTCTTGGCTAAGAAGACAAGGAGCATTTCCCGCATAGAGTGAGGCATGTCACTGGCACGATTGTCAAACAGGTGGCAGTGGAGGTCATGCAGGATCGCAATCGGGAGAGGGGACTTCCAGCACGAATAGACAATCCCATCGGGCCCTGGCATCGAGTCGCGTCGCCCCCTAACCAATTTCTCAAAGTCTTCAAAGTCTAGACGCCACTGGTCATCAGGAAGGGAATGGACAGGAGAGATGTGGGCTTCAAGATCTGGCCAGAGAGACGTGTCGCAATCGAACTCATCAAAAACAGTTTCCCAGTGCCGAGCCAGCTCCTCCCCCGCCCCATCAATGGTGCTGCGCGGGGCGCCGCCAGGGCCCAGGATAGTCCCAATAGAGATCCGTTTCTGAAGAGGCCTCCAGAGCTCACGACGCCTTTGCAACCTAGAACGCAGCCGAGCCTTAATCTCCGAATCTGCTTCTTTGTCGGCTTCCTGCTCAAGCTCAGTCAACCGAAGGTTCTGAAGCAGCTGGATGCGATCACAAAGCGCCGGAAGATTACGACAGGTGAGAGGGTCGAGGTCGAAGAAGCAAGACAGGTGGGGGTAGCAGGAAATGGCAGAAGAGACACGCTGTGTGCGCCGTGCACGTAGACCCCTCAGCGCAGCCAAAGAAAAGTGAATCTTCTCATCTGCAGTCCGAGCGACTTGATGGGAAAGGAAGTCACGCGCCCGCTTGCAAGCCTCAAACATACACCTCTTGACCAGGGCAATCTGATCGTTAATGGGCGCAGTCCGATCCAATTCACTCAGAAGAATTTCAAGCTCAGTGTGAAACCGAGGGCGTTGCCCGACCCAGGAAGGGATAGACGGATTCTCAGATGGCTGGTATCTCCGAAACGTGGCCAGGACTGGAATACGGTCAGAGACATTCTGAGTGGCCCTGGCTTTGCCAATAACCGAGCACGTGGTAGTGAGACCAGAGAGCACGGCAGTGGGAGAAGCGATATAAAGACGGTCAAGACGGCTCACGTGGCAGATTTCCCCACTGACAATCTCCCGACGGGTCGGTTCAGGCTGGTGGACCTCAGTCCACCGTGGGAAGAACGAATGGAACGTATCGTGCCGATAACGATCTCCAGGCCTCCACCCCGATCCATCCCCACACTGGCGGCCATCCTCATCCAGAGCAAAATTGAAGCCCCCACCAATCATAACCAGTGCATCAGGAGTCCCCAAAACATCCCGAATAAGCCGCAGAGACCGCCGAAACGCCCAAATAGGTTCCCCCGAGGTTGGCAGGTGAACGTTCAGAATCCAGAGAGCACCCCGCCGGCCGTGGCATTTAGGGACCAGGATACGACCCTCATCGATACTGTAGTGCCGAATGTCCGTGAAGAGAGAGCGGAGAGCAGGAGATATCCGCGTGAGAACACCACCAGCAATGTCCGAAGTATGTCCTGAGAATCCAATCGACCAACCTTGCAGATCCGACTGGGGCGCCGCTGCATCGCCAGCCGTGCCGTGGGTCTCTTGAACACACAGAATACTGGAACGCCGAGACAATCCCAGAATCTGCCTGTACCGTCGTGTGGCCCGGAGGGAGGAGTGGCGAATGGAAGCGAAGAGCCCCCCTAGAGTTCCAAGTGAGCAGAGACAGAGAGCAGGAAGGGGGAGGGGAAAAGGGAAGCGACGTATCAGCAGGCAAACCCCCACTGGGCGAAGAAGAGCTCGAGTCGGAGTCGGAACTGCTCGAGCTACTGGAAACAAAACTGGAGGAAATATTAAACTCAATCTTCCCTTCTCGGGCGCGGAGGGCACCCGCCAAAAAGTTCAGAGAGGTCCCTGGGAGAGACGGAAACATTTGGTCCCCAGGGCGGCCTATCCCATCATATTCATCTTCAAAAGGGACGCGTGGGCTCAGTGGCAAACGCAGCCTCGAATTTCTCACGGATCTCAGGGGCGTTCAGTCCAGGAGCGTTAAGACCTGCATCGCCAGGGCGAATGTGGATCACATCAGAGTTCTGGGGGCAGCAGGTGAAGCGAAAGAGAGGAACAGGGTCTTCCCGCGAGCGAAGGCCGAAGACATCACCACCGATCCCATTAGAATTGGCCTGCAAACCAACCTTTGAAAGCTCTTCCTGGACCGCACCCCGTACTTTTCCCATCTTGAAGAAGAGAAGCCGATGTTGAGGAGACAAGTTACGACGCACGCGAAGGGGCCAAACATCCTGCTGATTACGTGGGTTAACCATGCTGTAGCCCTCACTCAGCTTCCTGAAATTCATCTGGAAGTCCGAAGCCAT